ACTGCATACTGCATCGGGCCGTAGCCCGGAACACATAACATAAAACACATAACACATAGCGCATAAATCCTGTCTGAACCACGAAGGCATCAAACATACTAACTACTACATCGGACCGAAGTCCGGAAACTACTGCTAACTGGACGGGCCGGCATTGTGGCCTTAGACCCGTCCTTACTGGAGGGAAACTCACCTCGTAAGCTAGCTGATGAGTGTGTGGCTCGGAAGGCTAACGGCTGCTGCTCCCGAATCTCTTCGGCTACAAATCCATAAACACACTCAATCAAATACTAACACTACACTTGGGGGTAAAATGACTCTTTTACCCTTGGTCAAAGTCAACTCACTCTGGGCTGACTCGCCGAGTCGGGCTACCCAACTCGTCGAGTCCTAGTCTCATCTCTCAGCTCTTCATGCTGCTACTCGTCGAGTGTGGCATCGACTCGACGAGTACCCTCTGGATCCAAGAACTCAGACGATCTTCATCCGACTCGCCGAGTCGTATGAACAGACTCGACGAGTTGTTCTTGATCCCCAAGAAGATTGCCTTGGACTCGCCGAGTTGTATGAACAAACTCGCCAAGTCCCTCCATCACTGAGTCTACTCTCAACTCGCTGAGTCCACTCCCTAACTCATCTCGTCCACTCGACACTGATAAAACTGAAGAACTCGGGACTCGCGACCCGACTCGTCGAGTCGTTCTTCCGACTCGTCGAGTCGCCGCCATGCAACAGATTTTTACTTAATTTTATTCGAATCCAATGCATACAATTGATAGATCTGAGTCCAATAAGCTGTTTTACCACGTAAAGTTTCCAACTTTACGTGCACAACCTCATGAATAAGGGAAATAAGGCTAAAAGATGCATAGAATGAGTAGATCCATGGCTAACATGCAATGTAACCCCAAAAAGACAGTAGATCTGGGCTCTACAACACCCCAACATTCAGATCCATAGATATTTCGACTGAATGAGATGTTCATGCAAGAGTAAGGCTTGAAACAAGCACCAACTAGCTCTTAGGAGAGCTCTAATGGAAACTTAAGGCATATAATGAGATGGAACTCCGAAATTACCTCAATAAACTCTGATTTGGCCTTGGATCTTTGCACTCCAACCCTTCTCCTAGCTTCTCTCTTCTTCTCCTTCTTCACACCTTCACAAAAAGGCACCAAAACACATAAACTCTTCAATGGAGGTTTGGGGGGTGATAACACTGCGTTCTCAGGGTGAGGGAGGCGAGAATGGGGGCTATAAGGTGGTATAAATAGTGGGCAACCCGGGGATTTAGGGTTTCACCCAGACGGATGGACTCGCCGAGTCCATATTATGGACTCGTCGAGTCGCCGGCTCCCGCGTGCCCTCAGACGCGACCCGACTCGGCGAGTCAGGCTAGAACTCGCCGAGTCCCTCTAGAAAATTCATTATAATTACCAATAAATCGACGTACCGGGAACGGGTCGTTACATGTAATCAATGAGTCTTATACCTAATATACAAATAAGTAAAACACTCTTAATACGGTTTAAAAGTCAAATCTGTTTTAATGAAATTAATAATCTATTGTATGGACCAACCTTGATTGTTGTAATGAAACTAACAATATAATATTAGTTTCTATTATTGTAGCTGATAGTTATGTTGATTATATTGAATGGTTGTTATTTTAACATATATTTTGTTGCTAGGTTGTGTTTGGTTGGCAGAAAATAAATGGAATTCGGGGGGGAAATGATTTCAATTCCCTCGAATTTATGTGTTTTGTTGGTCTTAGAGGGGGGAAAGGATTCCTACATGAAATAAACTTTCAACCATATGGAAGAAAGTGAATACCTTCCCAAGTTGGATGAAAAACATTCATTCTCATGAAGAAAAGTGACAGATTACAAAAATACTCATTGTACTTATCAGAAAACACACCACCACCACCACTACCATCACTGACCACCACCACTATCACTATCTCCACCGCCACGAATACCACCATCTCCGCCGCCACCACCGACCATCCCCACGCCGCCTCCACCACTACCATTGTCACGCCACCACCGGCCACCACCACTTTTGCCGCCACCACCCACCACTACCGCCACCGTTACCGCGACCACTACCACTACCGTCACCCACCACCACCACTATCAACGCCGCCACCACCACCTCCGCCATCACCTACTATCGCTACCAACTTCGCCATCACCATCATCGCCGCCATCACCACTGCCAACGCCACCACCGCCATCAACCGCCACCACCACCGTTGCTGCCACCACCAACACCATCACCGTTATCGTAACTGCCACTAGCCGCCACTACTACCATCACCACCACAATCAATGTCACCACCACTATCACCACCACTATCACCACCCCCGTTGCCGCCGCCATCACTGTCACCGCCACCACCCCCACTATCACTGCCACCACCGCCTAAATTTTACTATTTTTATAATTTACATAATGTATCTTTACATATAAGTTAGAAAATAAGATAAAATTAAGAAAAACAAGAAAATGGATAATTTTATCATTTTACATGAATTTAAATTCTATTTCCTGCGAACCAAATAGAATCTGAAATTAATTCAAATTTCATTTCCTACCAACCAAACAACATATAGAATTAGATTCAAATTCCTAACAGATTCTTTTTCCAATTTCAATTCAAATTCTTTCAGAAACATTCTGCGAACCAAACAACACCTAAAAATCAATTTTGTTGTAACGATGAAGTGTCATATAAGCAACGACAAGTGTTGTTTTTATAAATATGGAAGTGTTGTACTTAATATGGAAAAGTGTTGCAGGTTTAAAAGGTATTGCATTTAAAATAATTGCATTACTTCAACAACATGTTGCATAGTCCTAAGGCAACATTGCATAAGGCAGCACACAGTAATAGGGCTGTAAACGAACCAAACGAACACGAACAAGGTCTTGTTCATGTTCGTTCGTTTAAGTTAGTCGAACAACAAACGAACATGAACGGATAAACGAACGAGATTTTCTTGTTCATGTTCGTTCGTTTAACAAATTACTTTGTTCATGTTCGTTCATTTATGTTCGTGAACATGCTAAACGAACATAAACGAACAAATATAAAAATAAAAATAAAAAAAAAAAAAAACAATTAAACATATATAAACATAAACGAACATATAATATAGTAATATAATAAAAAACAATTGAATATAGATGAATATAAATAAACTTAAACGAACGAACATAAACGAACGTAAATGAACATCATAAACGAACGTTCACGAACATAAATGAACGAACGAGACCATTGTTCATGTTCGTTCATTTAACTAAACGAACAATAATTTTTGTTCATGTTCGTTCATTTATTAAATAAAGGAACATAAACGAACTTCCCGCCGAACAGTTCACGAACGGTTCGCCGAACGTTCAGTTCGTTTACAGCCCTACACAGTAAAGTGTTGCAGAAGGAATAACGCAATAGTTCTAAGGCCTACCACAACTCTTTATTGATGTTGCATTAGCTTCCTTTTGTTTTAGTGTTCACACCCTCTTGTTCTCTCTATCTCCCTGTCTTTGATTGATTGATGTGTATTTATATACCCAAGATGAAGATGGTGGAGTGAAGGCTGTGGTGGTCACTATTCTTGGCGTGGCTATCTCATCGCCTAACCTGCTATATTTTGATATTTTCATGTCAGTTTTTTGAGGCATAACTTTTATTATATTATGAAGCAAATTTTATGACCAAAATAGACGAAAAAAGGGAGAGCCATGAAGAGCAGTTATGAGATGGAGTATTAGGTAATACCGTAATAGTGAACCTCAATCATGAACGTCAATTATAAACGCAAGATTTATTTATTTTTATCTTTTTTATAACCCTACGAACATCTATAATTAAAGTTTTGAAAACAAGAATGCAAAACAAATAACCAAAATAACTCTTTGATTAATTGGAAAATCACTCAAAACTAATGTTTTTACAATCTGTTTTCATAATCATAAACTCGATTATGGACACGTATATATAGCCTAACATACCAATTTGTATTAGATTAGGAAACTTATGACCAACTTGTCATAAACTAAACTTTCCATAAATTAGATTGTTTGGACCCCAAGACTTAGGATTCCAACAATAATAACAGAGTTTTCTTAATCATTCAATGTGAAAGCAAGTTAGTGACATTTTTTTTAATAATGTTTTTTGCTTTCATTCATTTGTCTAACTTTTTTCAACAATGATTTTGTTTTCATTCATTTGCCTAATTATTCCGGTCAAATATGTACTTTGGAAATTTTTGGAGGACTTCCATCTCTTTTTTCGTATATGGTTCAATATTTTGAGGTGTTCAAATCACATAACAAGACATAAAATGCTTGATCCTTGTTAATTAGAAATAGAAGAGTTATTAATTGCCAGGAGCACACAGTTCTGCGTGGCGAAGAGTCCAAAATTTTAATCCGTCGCTAATATGTCGCTATCCATTGTTAATTTGTCACTAATATTTCGCTATACGGGCTAATCAGTTGCTCCATTGATATCCATCGCTAATCCAAAATTTTAGGGGCTCATTTTGTTTATCCGTAAATGGCTTTCAAAATTAATGTATGGGTTACAGACTTCCGGTAGATGATACTTAATCAAGTATAGTAAAAGAAACTTAGCATCTATAAAAGTAACCTCTATTTATTTAACTTTTTCTTTTTAAAATCTGATCGACAATTAAAAATAATAGAATTTCTTCTCAACCATTCAATGTGAAAGCAACTTAACTTAACTTTATTCAATGGTGATTTTGTTTTCGTACATTTAGATAACTTTTTTTAATGGTAATTTTGTTTTCGTATAACATCTTTTTAATGAGGATTTTGTTTTCAATCATTTGTCTGGTTATTCCACTCATATATGAACTTTGAAAATTTCTTAATTGGCAACTCATGTCTCTTTCTTTTTCTTTGTATATGTTTCGTAATGTTGAGGTGCTCAAACCACATAACAAATTAACACATCAATGGCATCCTCATCGTCAACTTTTCCAACTCCATCAATGGTGTATTCATCATCAACTTTTCCAACTCCACCCTCTTCTCAGTCATGGAATTATGATGTATTTCTTAGTTTTAGAGGAGAAGATACCAGAAAGACTTTTGTGGATCATCTCTACTCGGCTCTTGTACAACAAGGAATCTATGCTTATAAGGATGACGAAACACTACCCCGGGGCGAATCGATCGGTCCAACCCTTATGAAAGCAATAGAAGAATCACAGATTGCTGTCATTATATTTTCTAAAAATTATGCAAATTCGTCGTGGTGCTTGGATGAAGTTTCATATATTATGAAATGCAAGGATACAAGAGGGCAAACTGTTATGCCCATATTTTATGATGTGAATCCCTCTCAAGTACGAAAATATAAACGCAAATATAAGGAAGCGTTTTCCAAACATGAGTTTGAGCACAACAGGGTTGAAGCTTGGAGAAAAGCACTTGTGGATGCAAGTAAACTTTCCGGATGGGAACCCAAGCACATCGCTAATGGGTAATCTACTTCTTTCTTTTTTCACTTTTTATGCTTAAGATGTGTGCTCTAGAAAACAACATATGTATACCTTATATGAGTTTTTTTAAACAAATGTTTTAATCTTCTTCATTATATTTTTATGGAAAGAATTATTCTTGGTGACCTTTATAAAGAGAAGCTTTTACTACATCACTTGATTAGAGCTAAATAATAATTACTACGAACCTTAACTGAAGAAGATCATGAGATGCTTTATGTAGATGTGGTTTCTTATGTCACAGGGCAATTAAAAGATATCCCAAGTTATGATTAACTTCTTTGAGTTCTAATTTTAATTGGGAGATGATTTGTATACAATAATTTTTTTCCATACAAAACAATTGATGTTTTATAATGTTGTACTGTACAACTTTATAATACATACATTGTTGTGTATGACAAAAAACTATTGTGTACGAATCACTTCCCATTTTAATTAGACGAAATTATGCAATTAGTTCTATGATTTCACAAAACGAAGGTACGAAAGACAATTGTTGAGACTCTTACGCGTTTGGCCCTCGTCGGTTTTTTTTTTTCCAATCCTTTTGGTATGAAAATGAATTTTTTATTCTTTTTATTTTATTTTAGATTCTTATATATATTTTTAATATTTTTATGAAGAATATCTCTCTCTCTCTCTCTTCTCTCTCTCTCTCTCTCATAGAAGATTTAAATGTTTGATTCAAAAATATTTACAATTAAAAGATAACTGTATTTAGAGAAATTAAATTTCCTACTACATTTTCTTTCCATTGATCTTTCTATCCATTGAAATTGTGGCAAGTACAATATTTTGATACAACTAACTATATTTTAAGACATTTGTCATCAATTTAAATGACTAGGAACATAAATAGAAAGAGAAGTAGGAGGATATTTAATTTTTATTGTATTTATTACAACTTCACATTTTTTTTTTTTTGGGGGGGGGGGGGGGGGGGGGGGGGGATGGAAGGGAAGGGAATTAGGAGTGAAATGTGTTTTTTAAAGAGGATGGAATTTAAAGGGAATAGAATGATAAATTGCTACATTTTTATCCGCTATAAAGTGTGCGGGTTAGAAGATGAAGCATAAACAAACCGAATTGTCCTTCACTTCTTAGCATATTTTTTAGCAACTCACTCTTTCTTATTGTAATTCTCTTTCCTTCTTGCTTATTTCTGTTGTGTTCAAACAATAAACTTCATACCCTTCTGGTTTGTTTTTGATTTTTTAATAATTATTAGATGCAATCTTCCGGTTATCTTTAACGGAGGCCATCCCAGTTTAGATTTTGGATGTGTTTGGAATTGCTTCTCAAAGTGCTTATTAGCTTTTTGGAAAAGTTGGAAATTCCTAGCTTTTTGGAAAAGTCATCTTTTTGCATATAAAATTATTGTTTGCCAAACATTTTTTAACTTATTGGCATTTTGAAAAACACTAAACTAATAAGTCATTTTAAAAAGCACTCCCAAACACCACTTTGTGGGATTTGAACGATAGGCTTGGAACATAGATTGGATATGGGTTGTGGTATTTCCTCGAAATTATGGTTGCCCTATAATATGTGTTTTAGTTATGTTAATGACTCACGTGGGTTATAATTGTGTTAAATGGATCCTTCAACATCGTTTTTTCTCTCTTGATATTACCATTACAGCATGCTATGTTTGTGGTTTAAAAACTTTTATTCCTATGTGGCAATTTTTTTTATGAATATCGGAATATGCATTATATTGCCATTGCATATTTGAATGTTGAATGTCTGACTATAGTATTCAATGCAGGGGTAGAAGTGTCAAATTCCCTTCCATTCCACTCTAATTCAAGAACACAAATTATTACTTGTTGTTTCTTTTATTCAATTCCCTTCCCTTCAAATAAAATCTCAAGAACAGGGCCTTAGGGTTGTTCTTGATCATAAGTATAGTTCCAATGTGAGCAAATGTTGATTATCTTTGTATATCCAATGTGCAGGCATGAATCAAAAGGCATCAAACAAATTGTTGATGAAATTTCATCCAAGTTGCATTTCGTAACTTCAAGTGAAAATGAGAACCTTATCGGAATAGTGGCTCGCATGCAACGTTTGAGCTTAGAGTTACAAATTGGTTCAAATGATGTGCGTATGATTGGAATATGGGGGGTTGGGGGTGGTGGTAAAACTACTCTTGCAACTTCTATTTACGATCAAATTTGTTGCAAGTTTGATGGTTGTTGCTTTGTTGAAAATATTCGAGAAGAATCAAGCAGATATGGTTTGCGGAAATTGCAAGAAAAAATGATTTCAGAAATGGAATCAAATCGAGTTGGAGGAGGAAGACGCTTAATAAGTCACAGATTTCGCCATCGAAAAGTCTTGATTGTTCTTGATGACGTTGATTGCCTTGAACAACTAAAAGCGTTAGTTGGATCACATGATTGGTTCGGTGAAGGAAGCCGAATTATAATCACAACTAGAGATGAGCATGTATTGAATGCACACAAAGTAGATGTAACTCACAATATTAGCTTGTTAACTGATGATGAAGCTATTAAGCTCTTGCGCAAACATGCACCGCGGAATTATAGACCCGTGAAAGATTATGAACAACTTTCAAAAGAGGTGGTCTCATATGCTGGTGGTCTCCCGTTAGCAGTTACAATTCTCAGTTCTTTTCTGTGTGACAAAAATATTCATGAGTGGAGAAGTGCTTTAGCCAGATTGAAAGAGATCCCAAATTATGATATTCTGGAAAAGCTAAAAGTCAGCTTTGATGGTCTTGCACCGATTGAGAAAGAGTTGTTCCTTGATATTGCATGTTTTTTTAGGTGGCAAAAGAAAGATAAGGCAATGGAGATACTTGATGCATGTGGTGTTCATCCTGTTATAGGAGTGAAGGTGTTGATACAAAAGGCTCTCATATCTATTTCAGAAGATGGAATGTTTGATATGCATGATCTGGTGCAAGAAATGGGACACTACATTGTTAGAGGGGAACACCCTAAGAATCCTGAAAAACATACTAGAGTTTGGAAGAAGGAAGATGTTCTTAATATATGTGCTATGGATGCAATGACACTAATGGTTAAGCTAGCTTTTCATGATATATATATATATAAAGAAGTACTAGTATTCTTAATGCAACTCGTAACACTATATATTTTGTTCCTCTATCACAGGAAAATGACAAGATTGAAGCAATAACATTTAATTATGATCGCTTGCCAGAAAAAGAACAAGATCTTCCTCTGATTGCTACAAGCATGAAGAACCTTCGGTATATTGAATCCAGAGTTAAACAGGCAAATCCATTGTTTAATAACTTTCCACCAAAGGATCTTTGTTGTCTTATATTGCACGAGGGCTTGCAAAAAAAACTTTGGGAGGGTTGTAAGGTAATTCTTGTTGATCTAACTGATAGATGAAAACAATGTTGATGACGTATTATGGGCATGACTAATCCGGAGTAAATTTTTAACTTTTAAATATCTATAGTCTTGAAAGCATGAACCTTTGTTCTAAACGTGTTTGTGTTAATACCCATAAATTATGGAAAACTATGTCAATTTCTGTTTACGTGTGAGCGATTTTTACTTAAATCAATACCACCTGTATACATTATTGACTTGTTTCACTTATGTACGACAGTTGCTACCAAATTTGAAGATAATGAAACTTTGTGGCTTGGATAACCTAATCATGACACCGGATTTTGATGGACTTCCATATCTTGAAAGATTAACTCTTCATGAATGCCCGTGTTTAGAAGAGATTCATCCATCGATTGGAAGCTTGGAAAGACTTGTTTTCTTATCTATTGTATTCTGTGTCCGTCTTAAGATGTGTCCACCCATTACTCGACCAAAGAAACTTGAGACCCTTTCATTTGCATGGTGTAGCAAACTTGTTAATATCATAGAGATTCAACATCAGAACATGGTCAATATAGGGCATCTTGATTTAGATAAAAGTGGGAGTAAAGTTGCATTCGACATAGAATGTTGTTTACCTCACAACACGAACCACATAGGATTAAGGTTCTTTCACAACTTGCAAGAACTGGGCTTAAGAAAGTTGGATCTCAGCCGCTGCAATTTGGGAGATGAAAACATAGGTTCTCGTGTTTTGGAGTTGCCTGTCTTGCAAGAATTAAATCTATACGGAAATAAGTTTTCACGATTAAATTTTAGTCGCTTGCGACTGCCCCGACTCAAATGGCTCAACTTGTCATGGTGCGAAGAACTTCTAGTATTGTCACATCTTCCATCAAGTATATCTGTCGTCATAACAGATCATTGTAGCTCACTTGAAACCTTTGGAGATATTTCAAACTGTAAATGGTTGTGGAAACTCTCGCACTATGGTGGGTACAACATTGATTATTTTGATGGTGAGATATTACTAGACATCATGCTCCAGGTTTGGCTTCTAAATTTTAATATAAACTAAAACATAAACATAAGTGTAAGTACTGAATGTATTTTACTTGGCAGGGAAAAGCTATTGAAGATCACTTTATAAGTGTCATTCTTCCACATCAAACACCAAAGGGGTTTATAGGTAGGTTCTTTTTGGGGAAAACTTTTACAAGGCGTATTCGACATGTTAAGACCGGGTCAAATAGAGTGCTTGTTCGACCAGATAGTGATATGTTTACACTATGTCTTCCTTGTGGTTGGTATAATGACTTTTGTGGGTTCTTAATACGCGTTGTTTCCAACGGTATAAGTATGGATATTGATATAATCATCACGCAAGAGTCAGAACCAGATGAAGAAGATTCTCGATTTGAAATTTGGCAGGATTCTGATGAATTACCGGAGCCTGAATATGGCGGAAAAGTAAAGACATATGTGGGATACGTTTCTTTTAGTTCAATGATGCAGACCATATCATTGAACTCATCACATAATATTGTTTCATTTTCCATTAAGAGTTATTGGACTTCGTTTGCAGTTGAGCTCGTTCCTAGGAAAAGTCAATATGATCAGGTACAAACAGCAAAAGTCTCAACTAATTGCTCGGAATTTTGGGGTGAGAACGATGCATATGGACGATGCTTTACGACCCAACATGATTCGAAGTCTTCCATCAAGATTTTATGGCGACCTTTGAGCTTGTGATTGTGATTATAGTGCATCATGCCTTGACAAACAAATTGCAAATGGGGGAGAATGAATGAAGAGGGTTGCATAAATATCAAACATTAAGATCTGAACACGATGGTATGATCAATAATATCATGCGTTAGGATATGATTTAAGTTCAGCAGCAAATCATGGTAAGAACTAAGAAGCAAGAACTCATGATTTAATCCATCAAATATTCTTAGTAATGATTGAAGGGTTTGTATATTATCTTGAGAATTGACAAATACAAGGGAAAATGGCTTACAAGCCTAACAAAGTTTTCAAACCGTTTAAAAAACCTCATGTTTTGTCTGTTCAAGAAAACCCAACAACTTTAACTTTTTGTCTAAAAAAGTCCAACGAAGTTTTCAAACCATTCAAAACCCCTAATCATGTTTTGTATATTCAAAAGATTAATTTCGTTGGGTATTTTTGAACAAACAAAACATGATTGGGGTTTTTAAAACGGTTTGAAAACTTTGTTGGTCTGACAAGTCATTTTTCCGATATGGTAATAGCTATGTCATCTGTTTCTCTTCTTTGAATTCCATAGAATTGAACAAAAGTGTAACTTAATTGAGTTTTTTTTAGACACAATGTTAAATTTGTGGGAGTTTTTTAAACGGTTTGAAAACTTCGTTGGGCTGGTAAGTTATTTTCTCATATATACAAACGAGTGCACTTTGAATTTATATAGGAAATCGCCACTGCTCTATATCATGAGAGGGTGTGACTCGCTTCATAAGCAAAAAAACATATGTGAATCACTTCATGACTGTCCCTAACCACCGTAATATAGTCTAACACATATATTAGAAAGACATAAGACATGTGGACGTACTCCCACCGCACCATACGGTGAGGATGATGTGTCAGTCATGGGTGTGCGGTAACACCATGCCATGGGGTGAGGAGTGTGTTACAAAGGCCACCGCGTGAAGCAAATTCACACCATTTTTCTTTCTTTATTTCTTTCTTTTTTCAATGTTTTAGTATTGGTACAATACAATATTGAAACTTCATATTTATTAAAGATGAATATAGGAAGTATGGGGAACTAACACTACTAAAAAAATGTGCATTAGTGACAGCCAAAACCGTCGTTAATCCATCGCTAATAGGCTTCACCAACAGAATTGCAACAGACCAAAATCAGTCGATCTACTCTTGTTGCTAATTGTTTGTAATAGATTTCCGACGGCTACCCCAAATTTTTAGCGATGGAGTTTTCGGTCATTAATTAGTAACCGGTCATCGACGGAAATAGTTTTGCACGAATTACCGACAGAATGTGTTTGTAACAGGTTATCGACGGAATAACTCAGTAACGGATTAACTCAGTAACGGATTACAGACGAAACCTCAAAATAACTCACTAGCGGATTACTGATAGGTTTTTTGTGACAGATTAGCAACGGATTTGGCATTATCAAAAACAATTATAAATTCATGAAAAACTAAAAATAATTACATATTCAACACAGGAAAATATTAAAACATACATAAAATCTATATTCTAAAACCAACAAATATAAAATAAAAAAGTTTCAATATTCAACATTCATTAAGCCATTAGTAAGTACCAATTTTATTTAAAAATAATAAATACATAAAATCCATTCTTTTATATTAAATGGGCAAAATGTAATAGAAAAACACAAAACTCAGAAAAGCTTAACAGAAAATTTTTTAAACATAAACAATATAAGCTTCAGTTCCTGCCAAAGTAGATGCCCCAAAACAAGCCAATCTTTTTCCAAAAATGTCTGTATAAAATTAAAAATTGATATCCTCTTTACATTAAAAGCAACACTTGACTGTATAAATTGGTTAAAAACTTATTGTTAGACTTTCGATAGTTGAACCAACAAACTCCATTGGTTTATATGTCACCAGATATAGATATTTTATCAATTATCTATGACAAAAAAAAACTCATTAGTGAATGAAGAAGTTTACTCTCTTTTCAAGTTCAAGAACAACAAACATTGTCCTCCAAACTGATCCATGTAATTATACTACAAGACCATGAAATGTAATGAGAGAAATACAAGAAAAAGCAACATACTTTCATTATTTGTATATTATAGCTTCTTACTTACATTTCTTTCTATTACTCATTGTTAAAAACTCTACTCAATTATAGTAGTGTATGTTAAATTTCTAATTCATCAAGAAAACTAAGGTTTGAAAAGTAGGAAGCTGTAATAAAAAATAATAAAAGTACATTGTCATTTCTTGCATAGAGAAGTAGAACGTGTAGTAATACTGAAAAAAATACACGGAAATGATCAAAACGGCCTTGCAAAATGTACCTCACAATTCAAAGGAGGTTCATAAAGATCATCATCACATGTGTATAAATTTAGCTTCTCACACTACAAATAAAATTACATTTAGTGGCACAAAGTTTTAGTGACATTTTGCTTTTTTGCTTTTGATCGAATATGTGTTGAAGACATTTGTGGTCGGTGAAAATGGTGCACTTTGTACCGTAAAGGTAGTGCATCCAGCTCTTTAGAGCAAACACTATTTCTCCCAACTCAAGGTCATGAGTGGTGTAGTTGACCTCGTGTGTCTTTAGTTGTCTCGAGGCATAGGCAATGACCTTTCCTCGTTGCATAAGTGCACTGCCTAGCCCTTGATTGGATGCATCACAATATACTACAAAATCTTTTGTCCCTTCTGGAAGAGACAAGATAGGTGTGCTCCACAGGGCTTGCTTCAGTGTTTGGAACGCAGTGTCTTATTTCTCTCCCCAGCTGAAGGTTACACCCTTCTGAGTCAGGGTGTTAAGTGGCTTAGCGATTCTTGAGAAGTTTTGTATGAACCTATGGTAGTAACCAACAAGGCCTAAGAATTGACGGATTTCTATTGGCATTCTTGGTGCTGACCAGTTCCCGATTGCGTTAATTTTGGAGGGGTCCAGGTGTATTCCTTCTTCGTTGACCACGTGACCAATAAAATCTACTTTCTGAATCCAAAACTCCACTTTAAGAACTTCGCATATAGCTTATCCGCTCTTAATGTTTCTAGAACTTGTCTCAGGTGTTGACTATGTTCCTCTTTACTTCGTGAGTAAATAAGTATATCATCTATAAATACTATCACGAATTTGTCTAGGAAAGGACGACATCCCCGATTCATTAAGTCCATGAACACTGTGGGTGCATTTGTTAGTCTGAAAGGCAACACTAAAAACTCGTAGTGACCATAACGAGTTCAGAATGTTGTTTTGGGAACATTATCTCCTGGACTAATAGTTGGTGATATCCCGATCTCGGGTCGATCTTTGAAAAGTAGTTTGCTCCTTGGAGTTGGTTGAACAAATCGTCTATTCGCAGTAGAGGGTATCATTTCTTAATGGTGATCTTGTTTAGTTCGCGGTAATCTATGCACATGCGGAAAGATCCATCCTTCTTCTTCACGAACAGGACTAGTGCTCCCCAAGGTGAGAAGCTCGGTCTGATGAATCCTTTGTTGAGCAGTTCGTTTAGTTGGCTGGATAATTCATGCATCTCTACTGGTGCCAGAAGATACGAGGATTTGGCTATGGGGGTAGCTCTAGGAATCAAATTGATTTGGAACTCAACTTGGCATTTAGGAAGAACTCCTGGGAGATCTTCGGGAAAAATATCAGGAAAATTACAAACTTCGAGAATGCTCTTGATGCCTTTTACTTCTTGCTTCTCATCTATTACGTGTGCTAAGAATGTGTGGTACTCCTTGCATAGATATTTTTGGGCTTTGACGCAAGAGATGATCCGAAGGTTCGTACCGATTTTGTCGCCGTAAATGACGAGGGTTTCGTCACTTGGCAGATTAAGGCGAACGGTCTTTTCAAATCATAGAATATCAGCACGGTGAGGACTTATCCAATCCATGTCGATGATGATGTCGAAGCTTTTTACTGAGACTGGCATAAGGTCGATTTGAAAAGAATAGTGGTTTAGAGTGAGGGTACATCCTATGTATATGTCATTAGTGCTCTCTGTCTTCCCGTTTGCCATCTTGACGATGAATGTTTCATTTAGTGATTGAGGTTTTTGTTTAAGTAGATGTTTAAACTTGTGGCTTATGAAACTCCTCTCCACACTACTATCAAAGAGTATGCATGCATAACGGTTATCGAGGAGAAACGTACCTATGACCACCGTGGGATCTACTATTGCTTTATCCTGCCCTATTCCCAGCACTCTTCCCACACTGCCAGTATTCTTTCCTTTCGGGCAATCTCTCTTTAAGTGCCCAGTTTCACCACATCCGTAACACACGTGGCTTACATCAATATCGGGGAACTGGGTGATTGGTTGCGCTGGTGCCTTACAGAATCGGGCAGTGTGCCCCTTCCTGTTGCCGTTATTGTAATTCATCTCCCGGCATGGTCCGTGGTGATGGAAATTGTATTTGTTGCCCTTCGGTAGGTTCCCAGCATATTGTTTCACTAGTGTTGGGGTAGCAAGGGTAGTTGCAGCATGAACAACCATAATCTATTTTTTCTTGCCAGTGTCTTGTGATGGCTGATTCTTCTTTTTATTCCAAAACTTTCTCTTGTTGTCGTCCCCCTTTTTCTTGCTCGGGGACGGGGTCTATCATGCCTTGGCGGGCTCCATGATCTATGAGACTTTGGTCCAAGCGTTTGGTGCTATCGAAAGTAGTAGTGTTTGAAGCTAGTACATTCCCTTGGATCTGAGGAGATAGTCCCCATATCTATCTCTCTATTTTCTTACTCTCCGGGGTAACCATCCCGGGACATAGGGCTACTAAATTGCTGAATTTAGTAGTATAAGTTTCTATGTCAGATCTTTTCATGGTAAGGTTCCAAAGTTCTTGCTCTAGTTTTTGTACTTTCCCCCTCGGGCAGTACTCTTTCATCATCATTGATTTTAAGTTCTCCTAGCCCATTACGTTAGCCACTGTGAGGTTCAGTGACTTGACATGGCCATTCCACCATGTAAGGGCCCTTTCAGAGAAGGTGCAGACAACAAATTTCA